CGGCCGTGGCCGCCTACGTGGCAGCTTGCCAGGCCGCTGGGGCCCAGCTCGGCGATTGGAGGCGGCCGGACTTCTGCCGTGAGTACTCATCCATGCGTGGGCCGCAGAGTAGGGGTCTCCCCGCCTCACCCTTCACAGGGCTCAGAGACCAGAGCCTTCTCCTCCACCTGCCTCTCCCGAGCCAGCTAGCTCCGTCAGAGAAACATCTTGGCATTCACTCGCTAAATGCACCAGCTCACATACTGCAGTGGGAGAGGCTCTGAATCACCTGGTCAGAACACCTGGGTCCAGCAGACCCTCGGGGAACATGCGCACAGATATCTGAGGCAGATAAAGGGGGTTGGCTGACCCCCGTCAGAGCTACACAGCCAGACACACCCGGTGAAGTAGATTCTCCCAGGTACCCCTGCTCACGGAGACCTTGGAAGTCACACCTGGTCAGATGCCCCTGCACTGTTTCAGACACTGAAATACACAGGAATTGGTCCAATAACATCAGACAGGGACGCGGGTTAGAGACACCGGGCAGATACACCCAGGTGGAATCCTGACCCGGACATAGCCCTAGGCAGGTAGGTACAGATTCACACGAGTCACACCCCAAGACACATCTGGCCCCACCCCCAGTCAGATTCACATCCTGAATACCCACAGCTGGCTTAGACCTGCATAGATATGGTTGATCAGATGGTCAGAGAGGCCTGGTCCCCGGAGCCCCACACTGAATTTCCCGGTTGGATGTGCTGGATCTGACACCCGCTCAGATCCCTGGACAGATTCACTCATGAAAAAGGCAGGTAGAGCATTCAGACCCAGGTGGGCAGGTGCTTCCACTCTGCACCTCCCCCTGGACCATCCCCTCTTGTCCCCACAGCCTTCCAGTGCCCTGCCCACAGCCACTACGAGCTCTGTGGTGACTCCTGCCCTGTGAGCTGCCCCAGCCTCTCGGCGCCAGAAGGCTGTGAGCCAGCCTGCCGGGAGGGCTGCGTCTGCGATGCCGGCTTTGTGCTCAGCGGCGACACCTGCGTGCCTGTGGGCCAGTGTGGCTGCCTCCACGAGGGCCGCTACTACCCCCTGGGCGAGGCCTTCTACCCAGGCCCTGAGTGCGAGCGGCGCTGTGAGTGTGGGCCGGGCGGCCAAGTCAGCTGCCAGGAGGGCACAGCCTGCCAACCCTATGAGGAGTGCCGAATAAAGGATGGTGTCCATGCCTGTCACCCTAAAGGCTGTGGCCATTGTGTGGTCAGTGGGGGCATCCACTACAATACTCTTGATGGACGTGTCTATGATCTGCATGGCTCCTGCTCCTATGTCTTGGCCCGAGTCTGCCACCCACAGCCTGGGGATGAGGACTTTGCCATTGTGCTTGAAAAGAATGCGGCTGGAGATCCCCAACGCCTGGTGGTTACTGTGGCTGGCCAAGTTGTGGGCCTGGCTCATGGCCTGCAGGTAAGTAGACATGGTCTTGCCCTGGGAATCTGAAAGGGGCCCTGCCTTGGCGACACTGAGGGGACAGGATCCTGCCCTGGGAAGTTTCTGGGAGACATGGTTCTCCTTAGGGGTCTAAGGAGGACACTGCCCCACCCCAAAGTGACCAAGAGGGACACAGCTCCACCCTGGGAGTCTAAGGGGACAGCCTTATCCTGCCTTATCTGTGGTTCTGTGAGTCCCTGACCCACCTGATCCTTCCACCCAGGTCACTGTGGACGGCGAGGCTGTGGCCCTGCCTGTGGCTGTGGGCCACGTACAGGTGACTGCTGAGGGCCGCAACATGGTTCTGCAGACAGCCAAGGGGCTGCGGCTTCTCTTTGATGGTGATGCCTACATCCTCATATCCGTCCCCAGCCCCTTCCATGGCCGAACCTGTGGCCTCTGTGGAAACTTCAATGGCAACTGGAGTGACGACTTTGTTCTGCCCAGTGGCACTGTGGCCCCCAGCGTGGATGCCTTTGGAGCTGCATGGCGGGCACCCGGCTCCTCCCAAGGATGTGGCGAAGGTTTTGGGCCCCAGGGCTGGCCTGTGTGCTCAGCAGAGGAGACAGCGCCGTATGAGAGCATCAAGGCCTGCGGGCAGCTCCGGGACCCCAAGGGCGCCTTCGCAGCCTGCCACCCGGTGCTGAGCCCCTCTGAGTACTTCCGCCAGTGCGTCTTTGACCTGTGTGCCCATAAGGGCAACAGCACCTTCCTCTGCCGTAGCCTGGCTGCCTACACAGCGGCCTGCCAGGCAGCCAACAAGGCCGTGAAGCCCTGGAGGACAGACAGCTTCTGCCGTAAGTGCCCATAGGGCTCCCCAAAGGCCTCCAGACCAGGCTTGAGGATGCCCCCTGATCTGCTTCCAGTCCTGCTTGCATCTTAGGAGCAGTCCCTCCCTGTTGAAGGACCTCCACCCTAGCTTCTCCCTCAGCACACCCTACTGGCTTCTCTCTGGCCAACTCGCTGACTGGCCCTTCTCAGACTCCTTCAGGGTCCCGTTCTCCAAAACCTCAGATGCAGTTCTCCTTAGGTCTCATCCTGGACCCTTTCTGTGGTGACCTGGAAGGGTGGGTTGGCAGGTCTTTAGTACACAATAAAGCCTGAGTCTGCGACTCAGCCAGACCCCACAGTATGGGAACATATCCCCTCACATCCCCAGGACAAGGCTGCAGCCCCCTCAGATCCCCAGGACTCTGCCTCTCAGATGCCCCCCAGTGAGGGGGTATCTGACTCCGTCAGATCCCCAGGACAGGGCTGTGTCCCCTCCCATCTCTAGGACAAGGCAAGGGGCCCTCATGCCTCTCTGGCAGGGCTGTGTCTCCTTCGTTCTCCTCAGGGCAGGACCTACTTTCAGGGCCATTATCCATCTCCATGGCCTTAGATTTGTCTTCAGTGCTGAGCGTGGACACTGTCTGTCTCTAGCCCTGACCTCTCTCCTGACTGCTAGCCTCAGGATTCCAGTGGCTTCCCGGACACTTCCTCTTGGGCGTCCTTAGTGTTCTTCATACCTGCTATGTTCCCGTATGATAACAGCTTTTCATCCCAACTTGATCCTCTTATTTCCCAACCCTGGTACTTACCTCAGGGCAGCCATACATCCACCAGTTGCTCAGCCAGAGCCCTGCGCCTCACCCTGAAGGTTTCCCCTGGGTCCTCAGCTCCGTTGTTGCCCCATCCTCGCCCTGACCACTCTGCCTATATTTCCCCGATGCAGCTCTGATCTCACTGGGCCAGCACTGTTTATCCCACTGATGTGATCTCCAGGGCAGGGCCTGGAGCTGTCTTCATCACTTGTGTCCCCAGGGCTCAGTGTGCAGGCATGACCCCACCCTGCCTTCTCTCTCTGCAGCACTCAAGTGCCCTGCCCACAGCCACTACTCCATCTGTACACATTCCTGCCAGGGCTCCTGTGCAGCCCTCTCGGGCCTCATGGGCTGCACTTCCCACTGCTTTGAGGGCTGTGAGTGTGACGATCGCTACCTGCTCTCCCAGGGCATCTGCGTCCCTGTCCAGCACTGCGGCTGCACCCATGATGGCCGATACTTGCCAGTGAGTAGAGGCTTGAGGTGGGCAGGGAGGGTGGAGGGGCTTGAGGGAGACTGCTGACCTACTCAAGGATGGGGAGAGAGGAGCCATCCACATTTCCTAGCTGTGACATCCTGTATTAGTTTCCTGTGGCTGTGGTGACAAAATGACCATAAATTTGGTAGCTTAAAACACGAGAAATTATCCCCCCACAGTTCTGGAGGCCATGAATCAGAAATCAGATCACTGGGTCAAAATCAAGCTGTGCTCAGGGCAGCACCCTCTCCAGAGACTCTAGAAGAGAATCCACTGCTTGCCTCTCCCAGCTTTTGGTGGCTGCAGGCATTCCTTGGTTTATGGTCACATCACTGCAGTTTTTGTTTCTGTGTCATACTCCTCTTCTGTGTGTGACATAAAAATTCCCTCTGCCTCTCTCTTAGAAGGATATACATGATTGCACTTAAGGCCTATCCAGGTAATCTCTCAATCTCAAGATCCTTAATTTAGTCACATCTGCAAATACCCTTTTCCCATATAAGGTAACATTTACTGGTTCCAGCCATTAGGACTTGATATCTTTAGGGGGCTGTATGGTTGTTATTCACCTACTACAGTCCGCTCCCTGAGCCTCATTTTTTCATCTGTAAAATGGGGTTTATCATCATCCTTGAGCCATCGGTGTCTGAGGATTGGGTGCAATTTGCACATGAAAGGCACCCACTGAGCACTGGACCTTGCCCTCCACTGCTCAGTAAAATGAAAACTCTGTGGAGATCCTCCCCTAGCACCTCCCCTAAAATTCCTAATGGCTGGAACAGTGCAGTAGGTAGTACAGCTAAAAACAGTTTAATAATGTAAGTTGAAAGTTAATTTATTTTTGTTATAGATGATTTATTTTTATTATTTATGTTTTTGAGCTCTTACTCTTGTTACCAGACTGCTTCTGGCAAGGTTTGGGACCTTTTGCATGTCAGGTGACTTCCAGGTTCTTGACTTGTGCAGGAAAAAATTCAAGATAAAGTTCAGGTGAAAGTGAGTTATTAAAGCTTAGGACAGTGAGGCAAAAGAAGGTCCTTGGAGACAGGATCAGGAGGTAAACCTGAGATGAGCTGCCACTGCCCACTGCTTTCCTGGTTGTGAGTCTCATCAGAACTCTTAGCAGTGGTTCTCAACCTTGGCTGCACATTAGAATCACCTGGGAATATAAGATAAAGAAGGATAAAGAAGGCAAAAGGACACACCTGAGGAAAGGAGCGCAGGCACGCTCAGAAGAACTGTGCTGGTTGGTGTTCTTTGTCCTGCGGGGTTTATCTGTTTTCTATGGGCAGGAATTTTAGGGGAGGTGCTAGGGGAGGATCTCCACAGAGTTTTCATTAGATTTCTGGGTGTGTTATTTACTAGGCTGATATTTTTAAATGGGTATATAATGGAGTCTGGTCAGTTTTGCCTCTATCTTGAATTAGTCTGGATCTAACTGGGTTTTGTCATCTACCTCCATGACTGTGGTGATTTAAACCGTTTGCTCTTAGGCATCTTCACTTAGGGAGGGTAGGGTTTTGTGATGCATTAGCTTGCTGTTAATTGCTCAGCCGTTCCGCCATTTGTTCAACCATTGGTCTCAGTTTCCTCATTCCACTTGCCAGGGAATTTTCCTAATTTCTTACTTACCCACTTCATTACTCTGTTCCAAGTTTGTTACAAATGTTAATTCATTTAATAATCATAATATCCCATGAGACATTTGAATGATACAGAAATTGCATAAAGATAAGTCAGCTCAAGGCTGCCTATTAGAAAGTGATGATACTGCGAAGCACAGCCAGCAGCCTGGGCTCACCCTCTGAACTACTAGGCATCCTACTTCTTCAAAAGCATATTTATTAAATAAAAGAAAGGTGGGTAACCACATTCACTCTCATTCATCCCAGTGTTACTAATGGCAAAAAGGTGGGCTAGAGGGTCTGGATGTGCAGGACTTCTGGAGAAAGAGATGCCAAACTTCTGCTTCTTCAGGTCTCACAGCCAATAGGAAGCCCTCCTTGACCCCCTAGGCTGGGTTAGGTACCTCTGGACTCCCACAGCCCCCTGTCTTTTTCCATCCCGCTCCGCCAGTGCTGAAGGGTTTTTTGGATTTGTGCACCTGGGGTGGAGATACAAATGTGGGAGTCATCAGTTTAGAGATGGTATTTATTTGTTTTATTTCATTCATTTATTTTAAAGTTTTCGAACTTTTGTTTTTAAAGACTTCAAACTAAAGAAAACTTGCAAGAATAGTACAAAGAACTCAACTGTTGCCCTTTTGCCATGTATGCTTTATCATCCTCTCTATATAAATATATATATATACATTTTTTGAACCATTGAGAATATGTTACAGACACAGTGCCCCTTTACCTTTAAGTGCTTTAGCGTGGGTTTTCTAAGAATAAGGAAATTTGTTTAATACCACCACAGTACAATTCAAAATCAGGCAATTAACACTGATTCAATACTATTATATAATCTGATGACGTAATTCTAATTTCACCACTTGTCCCCATAATGTCCTTTATAACAATCACCCACCCCCAGGATCAGGTCCAATTAAGGAGCAGACACTACTTATAGTTTTCATGAGATTTAAAAAAATAATTATCTTTATTGTTGAAAGTATTACAGATGTCCCCCTTTTTTCCCCACGGACCCTCTCCTCCACCACCTCCCAGGCCTTCACCACACTATTGTCTGTGTCAATGGGTTATGCATATGCATATGAATTCTTTGGTTAATCTCTCCCCACCTGAGATCCGTCAGTCTGTTCCATGTTTCTATGTCTCTGGATCTATTTTGTTCACCAGTTTATTTGTTGAGATCATCAGATAGTAAATAAGATAGAAAGGGAAAAAAAGATCTAAGGACTGAACCTTGGGCAAGGAAGCATTAAGGATTTGGGAGGAACTTGAAAATGGGTGAAGAAAGAGCAGTTGGTTAGGTAGGGGAAAAGCACACAGGAGAAAGTAGTTTCCTGGAACTGGATTTCCAGGGCCCTATGTTCTGGACTGTGGGTGCCAGGACTCTGAGATGTTTCCTGCTCACCCCTACCTGTGTCTGTTAGCTCTTGCTAGGTTACAAACTACCTCAGAACTTAGTGGCTTAAAATAGCTATTTATTTAGTTCACATTTCTGCAACCCTGCAATTTGGGCTATGCTCACCTGGATGGTTCTTCTGTTGTCCTCTAGGCTCACTCATGTAACTCTAGCCCCCCGGTGAGTTAGCTTGGAGCTAGTTTAGAGTGTCGTCAGTGGGGATTGTTGTCTCTCTTGCACGGGGTCTCTTGTCCTCTGGCAGACCCAGGCTTGTTTTCATGGTGGCTGGGAAGGAGAGTGGGGGAGAAGCTGTAATGTCTTGAGGTCTTGGCTTGAAACTGACACAGCACTGTTTCTGCTGCATTGTGAAAACCAAAGCATAGTCTTAAAGCCAACCTGGATCTGTGGGGAAGGGGAAATAAACTACATTTCTTAATGGGAGTTGTTGCAAAGTGATCTGCATACGTTCAAAAGGTTGAAGGATTGTGGTCATTGTTGCAATCGACCACACCACGGTAACCTGGCCCCTCTCTGTGCACAGGTGAACTCCTCCCTGCTGAGCTCAGACTGCAGTGAGCGCTGTTCCTGTTCCTCAAGCACTGGCCTGACATGCCAGGCAGCTGGCTGCCCTCTGGGTCGCGTATGCGAGGTCGAAGCTGGGTCCCGGGACTGCTGGGTCCCCCCTGGTCTCTGTTCCCTCTTTATGGGCACCAATCTCACCACCTTTGATGGAGCCCACAGTACTGTCAGAATCCCTGGCATCTACGAGCTCTCTTCCCGCTGCCCAGGAATACAGAAGACCATCCCCTGGTTCCGTGTGCTCGCTGATGTCCACTCTTGCCATGACAAAGTTGAAGCTGTGGGTCAGGTTCACATCTTCTTCCAGGATGGGCTGGTGACTGTGACCCCAAACAAGGGCGTGTGGGTAAGCCTTGGCACGAGGGCATGTCTCCCTTGGGCTTTGTCTTCCTGTTTCGGTGTCCCTCCATTCCTGGCTGCCTGTCTATCTTGCTATCTGTTTTCTTTATCTAGATCTCTACAGTTTGGTCTCTGGATTTGGTCTAACCAACTGAGCTACCTGGCCAGGGCCATTAACTAGTTTTGATGTTAGTTTTGACTCTTGGTTGCAAATGACAGAAAACCAAATTCAAATTTCCTTGAGCAAAGTGAATTCATTGGCCCGCATAATTAGAACATCCAGGGAGAGAGCCTCAGGAGAGGCTGGATCCAGGTGCCCTGGCAGTATTGTCTGGATGTGCACCTTCATCTTTTAGACTTGCTGTTTTCCAAATCATCTTCATTTTCTGTGACTCCTTACAGTATCCCCATGACACAGGAACTATTATTATCCTCATTTATACTTTCATGTATAATGAGGGAAACTAGAGCCCAAAAAGGTAAAGTCATTTACTCAAGTCACTCAGAGAATGCCTAGGAGACCCAGCTTGAACCCACCAGCACCCATGCTCTTAACCACTTTGATGGGAACAGGGCGCTGGTGGTAAGTGTGTAGATACAGGGAACCAAGATGGATTCCAACTACAGTGCTCAGTGGGAATTTCCACTGACACTGTCAATCACAGGCCACTTGATCCTTCTGCTTTCTCTTAGGGACCCCTCAGGCCCATTGTTTGCATCAAGAGTCCGTTCCAGCCCCATGTGCCCCCTCCATTCTGCCCCTTGCCTTCCTGTCACCTACAACTGCCTTTTATTTGCTAAACCCATGGTTCTCATCACCCCAATTCCAGATTTCTGAAAGAGAGAATCTGTTTGGCTTAACAGGACTAATGCTGACTCATAGTCTCCTCATTTATAGTTCATATATGATAGAGCCCATGACCCAAGCATAGATGTCAGGTTGCACTAACGTTCCCAGATGAGCACATCTCTATTTCCACGACCTGTTTATTGATTGCAGAGATATCCACTGGTGTCTTCTAGGTCCAGTCGGGAGATAAAGCCCGGGCTCCACACACTCCTCCCCCAGTGGATGGTTTACATCCTTCCACCAAAGCACAGCGATGGTCCGAGACTCAGCCCTGGTGGAAGTAGGGGGGCTGGAGTTCTCTCTTTAAAAAAAATAAAAATAAAAATAAAAAAAAAAACTGAGGATATTTTTCCATTGATTTTTAGAGAGAGTGGAAGAGAGAGGTATATCGATGTGAGAGAAACACATTAATTGGTTGCCTGCTGCAAGAGTCCTGACCAGGGCCCGGGCCGGGGAGGAACCTGCAACTGAGGTATGTGTCCTTGACCGGAATCGAACCCGGGACCCTTCGGTCTGCAGGCTGACATTCTATCCACTGAGCTAAACTGGCTAGGACTAAATATATTTTTATTGATTTCAGGGAGCAAGGGAGAGGGAGAGAGAGATAGAAACATCAGTGATGAAAGAGAATCATTGATCGGCTGCCTCCTGCAACCAAGGGTTAGAGCCCGCAACCTGGGCATGTGCCCTGACCAAGAATCAAACCGTGACCCCCTGGTTCATATGTTGACACTCAACCACGGAGCCACACTGGCCAGGCAGGAGTTCTCTCGTTAGTGTACTCTGGACCAATCAGTCCTTTTCTCTGGCCATCTGCTTGATTCATAATTCAGGTTAACGGACACCTCCTCTTTCAAGAAATGATTCTCTACACAGCCAATAGATCCATTCTAAAATTATAAAATGGATCAGGTCATTCTGCTCTTTAGAACTCTGCAGTGGCTTTCCCAGAACAGCGTTCCAAACTCAAGCCACCTCCCTTCCATGCCCTACAAGTCCTTGAGAGAACAACTCCTTCTGGCCTCTCCAGCCTCATTCCCTGCCTCATTATGCTAATAACAGGCCAAACGGGCCTGTATGCTATTTGTATAGAAGCCAAGCTTGTTCCCACCTCGGGCCTTCTCATTTGCTGTTCCCACTGCAGCAGTGCTCTTCTCCCAGAGACTCTAAGAGTTGGCTCCTGCTCGTCCTTCAGGTCTGAGTTCCAGCATTGCTCCTACAGGGAGATCTTTCCTGAATACCTGCAGACCCTCTCGCTCTTCATCCCAATCTCAATGCTATTACTCTCTTTTATTCCCTTCAAGGCTCTTATCACTATCTGAAGTTATCCATTATTTCTTTGTTTGTGTTTGCTGCCTTCCTTCATCACTAGATATGATCCTTAGATGGGCAGGAGTCCTGTCCATCTTGGTCATTACTTTGTCGCCAGTACCCACATCAGGGCCTGGAACCTAGGGGGTGCCCAGGAAAAGTTTGGTTTTCTGACTACAGTCAGCCCTGTTCCCTCTGCCTCAGTCCATGTGCTGGGTAACACAGATGACTCAGACCCAGTCCTTATACTTTTAAAGCTTGCAGCCTGGTTAAACTTTCCATTCACCTCTCCAGCTCTCCTTCGCTGCATCCATCCCTTCTTCTTCTCTCCCTCCTTCTAGCCATCTCTTCTCCCACCTCTTTCCATTTTTCAACTCTCTCTCTTCTTCCCTTCCTTCTTCCCCTCCCTTCCCCTCCCCTCCCTCCCTTCCTCCCTTCCTCCCTTCCTTCTTTCCTTCCTCTTCTCCCACTTTCCATTTTTCAACTCTCTCTCTTCTTCCCTTCCTTCTTCCCCTCCCTTCCCCTCCCCTCCCTCCCTTCCTCCCTTCCTCCTCCCCTTCCCTGTCCGTCCTTTTCCTTCCTTCCCTCCTCTTGTAACTATATTACCTTGGGTGAGGTATGGTAAGGTCAGAACAGATCAAGAGAGAGAAATCAGAAAGATTTTTATAGTTTGCTGTAGTCACAGTTCCCTGGAGAAAGCAGTGCACCACTCAAGGCCACTCAGGGGAAGCTCCTGGGTCAGTAAGGAGGCAGAGGGAGAGAGGGAACTATGGGCAAGAGCCTTTATTTTGGTTTTTGAAGGAAAGAAAGGGTGAGGCAGGACAAACAGGTTTAGAATTGGCTAATTTGAATAATTTCAACAGGCTCTGCAGCATAGATGCTGGTTGTCTGGTACCTGGCCCTAGAGCAATTAGGGCAGGTGTACAGTGGTCCGGAGTGTGGGAGCCAACGTGGGAGGTGGTTGGGAGTGTGGACTTAATTGGCTACTCAGGAAGGAGAAATGGCCAGCCTCTCCTTTGAGGAGAAAGGGCCTCAAAACTGGGTCAAGATAGCATTTAAAGACCTATATTACATTACACAGAGTTAAATGTTAGCAGGAACTGAGGCTGAGGTTTTTACTAGGTAGGAGAATCTGTCATGTGCACATTGCACGTACTAAGTGCTGCAAAATGCACTCTGCTAGGGAAAGGCCATTATCCTCAATTCTCTTTTAATGTGTGAAAATTTCCACCTCAGGGTGAGCAGAAGGATTATTGTTACCTAATGTTTGCTTGGCACAGCACATTTGAGAAATGTTTCAGACTGTCTTAGGAACCAATGTTGAAGAAGCTAGAAGTTGTATGTATATGTATGCATATTTATTGCACATTTTCCCTCTTAAAACCATTGGGTTTGGTTAAACCATAAATTGGCCCATAAATATTGAGCCGCTCAATTTTTCAAATCCATCTGCTCTCTACTGCCCTACTAGAACATACATCACCAAGCAAAAGGGACATGGCAGAAACATGGAGAGACTATCAGTTACTGTTTTTGTTTGTATCTTTGTTTTGTTTTTTTGGAAAAGGGAAGAACAAAAAGAGGCTGACCTAGGGAGTAAAAAGTTCAAAGAGAATATAAGTCTTCTTGCCTATTAAAAACAAAACAAAACAAAAAAACCCCAGATCTCTGAATGTGTCTCCCACATTTCTTTAATGAATAAAAACTGCGTTTCATTAGTATTTTTAAGGAAACCTTGGTTATTAGATTTCTATAGAGAAGAATAGTTTCAAAAGACCTGACTTTGCTTTTTAATTTTTTTTGTGTGATCTTGACACATTTTCATATTGCTGGCACCAAATTATTTTTAGTTCAATTGGCCAAGGTTGGGAATAAGCCCAGATTCTGTTTTAAGAATATGTACTATATACACATCGAATTACATAGACAATGCAAAGATATGCTCTATGGGTTCCTTTTTAACTTTATTTTTATTGTTGATACTGTTACAGTTGTCCCCATTTTCACCCCTTTGCCCACCTCCCTCCAGTCCCAACACCCTCCTTCCCTCTGGCTATCAGCACACTGTTGTCTGTCTATGGGTTATACAATATGTACTTTGGCTAATCCCTTCACCTTTCATCCAGTCCTCCTCTCCTCTCTCCCCTCTGACATCTGTCAGTCTATTCCATGTACCCATGCCTCTTTCTATTTTGTTTGCCAGTTTATTTTGTTCATTAGATTCCACAAATAAGTGAGGTCATATGGTGTTTGTCTTTCTCTAATTGTCTTATATCACTTAGCCTAATATTCTCCAGGTCCATCTGTGCTCTTGCAAAAGGTACAATTTGCATTGTGTAAATGTGCCACAGCTTTTTTATCCACTCATCTACTGATGAGCACTTGGGCTGTTTCCAGATTTTGGCTATCTATAATAACAAAAGCGTAATATGCTAATTAGACCGACATCCTTCTGGATGAAGTCGGGGCAGTAAGGGAAGCCCAGTTCCCGGGTACCTGTCTGTGGCTGGAAGGAGGGAAGCCCAGGTCCTGGGTGCCAGAGGAAAACCGGTGCCAGCAGCCGGGGGAAGGTAGGCCTACTCTTGCACAAATTTCGTGCATTGGGCCTCTAGTTGTAAATAATGCTGCTATGAACAAAAGGGTGCATATATTCTTTCTGATTGCTGTTTCAGGCTTCTTATGGTCTCTTGTAGCTCTAGTTTCTTTCACTCTTGCTGTATGGTCCCATCTTCTGATCCTTGTAGATGGCAAAATAGCAGCTATTGCCTAAAATATAGGTTAGAAATATATGCCTCTGTATTTGGAGAGGGCCAAGAACTGAGGAAAGTTTCTTTGACTATGCAGAGGCTCTTGTAACCTAGGTTGGAAGACTCTCCCAATGTCATGCTTTCTTAGATGGAAGTTAAAAATGCTGAACCAACTTGATCTCCTCTGTGATTTTTTCAACCTTGGAAATGATCTAAAAGGTACTGTGGAGGGCATCATCACCCTATTAAAACTTTTTTCCAATTTCAAATACTGAGGATAATTTAATCTTGAAAAGCTTCCTTTCTTTTGGACTAAGTCTCTTCTATATTTCTGGATCACTCAGATGCCTTGACCCCAGTTCCCTGCCCCTTTTGGAACATCTTGACCACCTTTTCCCGAATCTCTTTAGTCTTAACTCCATATACCATAGGATTAAGAGCAGGTGGGAAGAGCAGGTAGACATTGGCCAAAAGAATGTGAATATGGAGTGGAACGTGGTGGCCAAAGCGATGAGTAAAAAAGGAGAAGAGGGCTGGTGTATAAGAGATTAGGATGACACAGACATGGGAACCACAGGTCCCTAGGGCCTTGGACCGAGCTTCATGAGATGAGAGGCGAAAGACAGCTCGTGCAATAAAGGCGTAGGAGAGACCAATGCAGAACAGATCAACCCCAATGACCAGCAGTGCTGCTGTCAGTCCGTACACACGGTTAAGCCTAGTATCTCCACAGGCTAGCTTCACTACAGCCATGTGCTCACAATATGTGTGTGGGATTACATGGCTTTGACAGAAGCTTAAACGCCCAATGAGGAAGGGACATGGGAGCATGAGCATGGAGCCCCGCACCATAGCTACCACTCCAATTCGAACAATGATGGTGTCAGTAAGGATAGTGGCATAGCGGAGCGGGTAGCAAATGGCCACATAGCGATCAAAGGCCATGGCCAGCAGCACGGTGGACTCCATCATGCAGAAGGCATGAATGAAGAACATCTGTGCCAGGCAGGCAGAGGCAGAGATATGTCCAGCTCCACACCAGAGGATGGCCAGGAGCTTGGGAACTGTGGAAAAGGAGGCAGCCAAGTCAATGGTGGAGAGCATGCATAGGAACAGGTAAACAGGCTTGTGCAGGGCTGGTTCGGTGGCAACAACAACTAGGATGGTTATGTTGCCCACAATTGTAGCAGTGCCCAGGCAGCACACGGGGAGTGAGAGCCACAGGTGGAACTGTTCCAGACCTGGGATGCCCAGGAGGAAGAAAAGAGAAGTGTCCAGATTAGTGTGATTTGGAGACTCCATGGTCTGGCCAAGAGTTCTGAGCATCATATCTGGTCAGAAGCTCACACACTATGTCACATTACCTGAAGAGACAACACAGAACAGGGGTATCAGTGACAGTAGAGTAACACTTATTAGCTATACAATGTTAGGCAAGCTTTATCATCTATCAAATGGGGTTAATAAAGTACAATCTGTAGGATTGATAAGAGAATTGTATGGGTTAATATTTGTAAAGAGCTTTGAATAGTGCCTGATATACCATACTTGTTAAATAAAATTAATGAATGTGAGACAGGGCTCAAATAAGCATTTATATTAATTAGAGTTGTTTTCTAGCTAAGACCTATTGTCCTCAAAAGTACTAGACCTCTCTCTTTTTCTCACTCTCTTCTCTTTCCCCCCCTCCCCCACCTCCTTCTCGCCTTTCTTTTCTGGAGTATGGGGAGAGATTAGGCAGAACCCAAACTACCAACAGTTCCCTGAATGAAGATGGACATCATTTTGTTTAGTTTTTGAACTTAGAATGGGTTCTGGTTTGGGACCTAGTGCTTGATAATTATTTATGATCATAAGATTAACATAGCTGTTTCCACTGCTTTCACTAACCAAGAGATAATCCCAATATCCCCGATGAACTTTCATTTGAAATTCCAGAACATGCTTTATGTACCCTCACATGTCCAGTTTCCACTTCCTAAGATTTTGAAGTTAATCCTAAACAGGGTTCTACTTCTGAAACAGACACTTCCAGTCTTTTAGAGTCTACTTCTGCATTAAACCTTTATTCACATTTTATCTGTACCGGAATCGAACCCGGGACCCTCCAGTCCGCAGGCCGACGCTCTATCCACTGAGCCAAACCGGTTCGGCTAGTTAGAATTCTTAACCTTTAGGAACCTTTATTTTTAGATGACATATAAGTAATTAACATTCCTTGGATTAGCAATACATTCACATTTTAAGAGATTTCAAATAAAATACAAGACTTATTCATTAACAGATTCAAATCTATCCTGTAGACTTTCCATACAAGGCAAACTCAAATTAATATTTCAGTATCCTGTTACTTCAAAAAAAACCTAGATATTTAATAATTTTTATTATTTAACCTAGCAAACTCTTCCAAAGTTTTAAGTTACCAAAGACTTTGGAAAACTATGTTTAGGCATATATAATTATCACTGAAAAAGCTTTATCATATCCCCTCCATTTTAGTTATATTTATTTTGCCTTTACAACTTTGAGATTTTAAAGCCAATTATTGTTACCCAAGGCATTTTCTTGGCAATTTTTGTAACAGGGATAACTCACTGGACTCCAGTGGCTTTAATGTGAAAGTACTATTGTTATGCCCAGATTTCAAGATCCCCATTAGACCATACCAGGGAGCCAGCCAGTCCGATGCAAAAGCAAAGAGTCCTTTATTTCAAGCTAGCTCGAGCTCCCCGTCCACCACACTCACCGACACAACGGCAAGCCAAGTGGTCAAGAGGGAGAAGCCTGATAGGACCAGGAGTTTTCCTTCCTTCCTTCCTTCCTTCCTTCCTTCCTCCCACCTGTCTATTCCTCCATCCATGCATCCATCCATTCATCTATCCATCTTTTCAGATCCATCTACCTATCTTTTCTATCTGTCTACATCTCTCTTCAATCATCTGGCAGAGGAAGACTCAAGATACTAAAAGATTTAGAAAAAAAAGAACTTTCTTTCAAACAAAGTTCTTTGGGGAGTCTAACTTTAGAAGGATTAATTCATCAATGAAAAGAGACAACAGTTATATAAAGGAAAAAACTCATAAGATTACCAGGTTAACTGAGTCTACAGCCTATGATAGAGAAACAGTAATTTTCTCATGTGATCATTATGCTTGCTAGGGTATTACTTGGCTTCAGACATCAGCATTGAAACAAATAAGGGGTGAAGTTACTTTTGTTAGGGAACCACTAACTTACAGGACATGCTCAAGGGTTCTTTTATTTTGAAAACTAGAACTATGTACACAGGATGACACTGGGGTTTGATTGATTGTTGGTCTATGTGGTACAAAGTAACCCCTTGTATATATGCTTATTGATCTGTTGATCCATCTCTGCATTCATCCTCTCTCTAATCTTCTCTCTGTCCATCCAAATCTCCAACTAAATTATGTATCCATCTCTCCATCCTTTCAGGTCTTCATCTGTTTCAGCATCGGCTTCTCTGCTTTTGCTCCTTGAACTTGTTATCTTGCTTGGGGTCTTCGTCCTGGTAACATCCCAGCTCTTCTGTGGCTCTAGCCTAACTTCTGTGTCTCCCCCCGCCCCCTCCCTGCAAAAAAAAACACAGGTGAATGGTCTCCGAGTCCGAGTAGATCTCCCAGCTGAAGTGTTAACATCTGTGTCTGTGAATCGGAATCCGGATGGCTCCATGCTAGTCCAGCAGAAGGCAGGGGTCCGTGTACAGCTGGGCACCAATGGGCAGCTGACTGTGATGGTCAGCAGTGACCATGCTGGGATGCTGTGTGGTGCCTGTGGAAACTTTGATGGGGACCAGACCAATGATGGGCATAACTCCCAGGGAAATACAACAGTGGAGCACTGGAGAGCACCGGACTTCTCCCCATGGTGAGGATGTAGCATGGAAGCCAGTTTACTTGGGGCCAGGGCACCTCGATCCTCATGGGAAGGAAGCAGTTGGGTGGGTGCTCAGTCTGTAAGAGCAAGTGCTAAGTGTCTGTCTCTTGCAGTCATGGCTGACCAGTTATCCACTGGAAATGAGGACTTCAGGACCTGATCCCTCTGGAGGCTGCAATAATTCAAGGATGCACTGTATCACTGTGTATTCCTTCCCTGCTCTCCCCCTCTGCTGAGCCGCTGAGGCTGATTGTGAGAGCATTGAATAAATATCTTAAGCTAAGCTGCATGCCCATGTGTCTTTTTAAATATATACATATATATTTTATTGATTTCAGGGAGGAAGGGAGGGTGAGAGAGATAGAAATATCAATGATAGAATCATCAGTCAGCTGCCTCCTGCACACCCCCCATTGGGGATAGAACCCACAACCCAGGCACGTGCCCTGACTGGGCATCGAACCATGACCTCCTGGTTCATAAGTAGATGCTCAACCACTGAGCCACACTGGATGGGCACCCATGTGTTTTATTCCTGACTTCCTGCCTGCATAGTAGGGTCAGATGCTTGGGGAATCTGGCACATGATGAATATTTATTGGTGGGTGAAAGGATGGATGGATGGATGGGTGGCAACATAGGTGGGTGGATTGGGAGAGGGATGGATGAGGGGATGAGGAGATGGGGAAATGTATTAGAAGAATGGGTGGATAAAAAGATGAATGATTGGATGGAGGGCAGGAGTAGCAAATGGAATAGGTCTAGCTTTACCATTTCTTTTCTTTTTCTTTTTTTAATATATTTTTACTGATTTCAGAGAGGGAGAGAGAGAAACATCAATGATGAGAATCATTGATAGGCTGCCTCCTGCACACCCCACAATGGGGATCGAGCCTTGCAACTCGGGCATGTGCCCTGACCAGGAATCGAACCATGACCACTTGGTTGCCAGCCTGGCAGCTTTATCATTTCTAACCCTAACAAGTTAATGTCTCTGTCACTTAGTTTCCTCATGTGTCTTAGTCCATTCAGGCTGCTGTAACAAAATACCATATAATAGGGGAGGGGGGTTATAAACAAATTTATTTCAGGCTCTGGAGGCTGAAAAGTCCAAGATCAAGGCACCAGCAGATTCAGTTCTGGTGAAAGCCTGCTTCCTGGTTCATAGATGGCTGTCTTCTTGTGTGTGCTCACATGGCAGAAGGACAAGGGAATTATCTGGGGCCTCTTATAAAGGCACTAATGTCATTCATAAAGGTGCCACCCTAATTGTAACTGGACAATCAATGGGTCCGTGTTGCCTGTCACTACTTGAGCCAATTAAGCAGAGACAGGGTTGAATCATATGTGAGTGTTTATTCCAATACTGCCGGCAGCATGGGAGAGCAGCAGGTCATCCACAAAAATCTGCTTTGCAGCCCCCCATAAGCCAGCTGCTTAAGGATTACATGGGGAACTAGGGATTACAGGCATGGGTAAGTAGGAGGCTGGGGTGGGACTCCATTGTTCAGGCAACAAGGTTGTTAATCTTTCAATGATAATAGGCAGTTCTTTTTTAATATTTTTATTGATTTCAGAGAGGAAGGGAAAGGGAGAGAAACATCAATGATGAGAAAGAATCATTGATTGGCTGCCTCCTGTATGTGCCCGCAATCCAGGCATGTGCCCTGACCGGGAATCAAACCATGACCTCCTGGGTTCATAGGTCGAAGCTCAACCACTGAGCCACGCCAGCCAGGCAATAGGCAGTTCTTGAATGGAATGGTTTCAAGGTTGATTCCAAGGTCCAAAGCTGGCTCCCAGGTCCTGGAGGCATACAACTCCCAGCCAGGTCAGAATGTCCTTTCTTTAACCACACAAGGCAATCATGGTTAACAGAGCATGATTAATATTTCCCATAACCATAGCTAGTCCCCAATATTCTATTTTTGCCCCTAACATAATGACCTAATCCTCTCCCAAAGGCCTCATTTCCAAATACCATCTCATTGGGGATTAGGTTCCAACATAAGAATTTTGAATTGTTCCCAGAGAATATTGTTTCTGTGTCCTCTCAGTGGACAGAAGTAGGAAATACATACACACATAAAAGTCCAGGAGTTCTTGCTGATACCTCCAGTTCCAGTCCAATACCGCAGCGTTTTGGCCTTCCCAATTTCATATCTGTATCTCCTACAACAGTGAGAAACCTGGCTCTCAACATATTTCATCTTTTACTCAATCCTCCAATATACAGAGACTATTTCAGAACTGCTAATCCATGCCACTGTAAAAAAACAAGCCTGTTAGGTAGAGTTCTGTATTTGTTTGTAATTCTTTTCATCTTTAGACTAAGAGTATATATCAAAGTTCTGTGTTAAAAAGTTACTTGAGTTAGTACTTTTTCCCCTTTAATGTGGTTTGTTATTTGTTTGGAATATAATTTGGTAATTTATAAACAGAGCTATTTTATTCAATATTTTTTGTTTTAACCTTTATGAAAATATGTAACTAAAATTTTTTTAAAAAGAATTTTGAGGGGACAGAAACTGTCAGTCAATAGCATTATATTTAAAGTAGTATTTATCGCTGTAACCGGTTTGGCTCAGTGGATAGAGCGTCGGCCTGTGGACTGAAAGGTCCCAGGTTTGATTCCGGTCAAGGGCATGTACCTTGGTTGCAGGCACATCCCCAGTGGGGGGTGTGCAGGAGGCAGCTGATTGATGTTTCTCTCTCTCATCGATGTTTCTAACTCTCTATTCCTCTCCCTTCCTCTCTGTGAAAAATCAATAAAATATATTTAAAAAAAAATAAAGTAGTATTTATCATCCAGAGTTGGAACGAGGATTTAATGTGTTTACCCAATCCACAAGGAAAAAATTGAAGTCTCTCTTCCTTCCCAAACGTGTCCCCACCTTTCCCATGGATAACCTTCCCCACCTCAGTGAGTAGCACAACTCAGTCTGGCAGCCAGAAAATGGGAACTTATTCTTGCTTTCTCCCTTCCCTTTGCCCTCCACTCAGTTCATCAACATATCCTCTTAGATTATATCAAAACATACCTGAAATCTGCCTGCCTTTCTTTTTTTTAAAATATATTTTTATTGATTTCAGAGAGGAAGGGAGAGGGAGAGAGAAACATCAATGAAAGAGAATCATCGATTAGCTGCCCCCTGAACGCCCCCTACTGGGGATCAAGCCCACCACCCGGCATGTGCCCTTGACCATAATCAAACCTGGGACCCTTCAGTCCGCAGGCCACGCTCTAGCCACTGAGCCAAACCAGCTAGGGTTGCCTGCCTTTCTTATCATGCCACTGTCACCACCTGGTGCACTTGGAGGAAAGATTTACAACATACCTAATAAAGGATTAATATCTACAATATGCAAATTAATAAGAAAAAGACAGTGGTTGAATATATGAACAAGCAAGTGACAGAAAAAGAAACCTTCAACAAAACTTACAAAACCTATATAATTAGTTTTGGTTTATTCAGCCCCATAATCAAATTTTTGTTTCTTCTAATTTTTCCTGCCAGTATTTCTATAAATCCAGATACTTTATAGAGTTCTAATAATTTGCATCCAGTTCAAAGGGTATGATCTGAAAATATCAGTCCTTTCCATGGATCCCTCAGAAGATGTATATTTTTCCAGATGCATCATAACAAAACAGTGACTGTCTCTAAATGACAAGAAGAAATTTAAAATGACACAGTTATGAACTTAATTATAATGGGATATTGTCCTTTCTACAAAATATAATCCACAATATTATAACTAACAATTAGTTATAAATGAAAGCATATCAGAATCTATTTAATATGCATATATAAATAGAATATAGTTGTTCCTTTAGTTGACAAAGTTTCCCATGTATCTATAAGTAGAAAATTTTCCTTCATGAGAGAGAAAACAAATCCTTGAGGCATTCCAAGGTCTATTGGAATGACTAAAGCCAATTTAGGTCCAGAAAAAGTATTTTAAAATTTAAACCCTGGGAAGTTTGTCAAACTCATTATACCAAAAGAGCAGATATCATTATTATTAGGAATTCAAGGTGACAAAAGGGTATTAAACACAAACATAGGCTAGCAACTTTCAGTTCCCATGATTACAATGGCTCTTTTAAAAAATAAATAAATAAATAATCAAGTACCTGATTAATATAACATATAACCATTTCAATAACTTTACTTCCTGGGCAAAAACAGGAAAGACCTTTTCCCTTTTAAGACTAGAAAAGGACTCACCCACATGAGGTTTATTCTCTAACTTCATTTGTCCTTGGGTGTGGTCAGCAGATGACACTAATTGGATTTCTGCTATCTGTCTCCCTGAGTATGTTGATATAAGCTATTTACCCTCTGGTTAGGGAGGCAAAATTCAAATCATTTACTCTTAAGTGTCCTTGGTTTAGGGCAGATAGGATTTACTAGATGGCTCCAAATTGCTGTTTAACCATCTCAATTTCCCTATTCTACTGTTGGCTTACTGGCCTGTGTCATTTATACAACTTCCTTTCAACATTTCTCTTCGCAAACATTCTACAACTTTCACAAACTTTCTACAACTTTCACAAACCTTTCTTCACAAACCTTACAACTTTCAGAAATAACCAGCTTTAGTATCCATTTTTTCCCTTCCAAATGCCTCATGCCTTCTATTACATCAAAACCATAATTTCTTTCCAATTAGTTAGAATTCTTTTTTTTTTTTAATATTTTATTGATTTTTTTTATAGAGAAGAAGGGAGAGGGACAGAGAGTTAGAAACATCAATGAGAGAG